TCCTCCTCCTCCTTCTATTTTGAGACAGAGTTTCATTAAGTTGCCCAGGCGGGACTCAAACTTCTGATCCTTCAGCCTCAGTTCACCTCAGTTCTGGGGATGCCAGGTTCATTAACACTCCCATTTTTTCAGATGAGTTGGAGAGAAGTTCCACTTATCTTCCAGAAAAAAACAAACAAACAAAGAGATTAGTTATGAAATCCAGTCATCAAGTATGTGTTACAAGTATGTGTTACCATGCCTGACTATCTAAGGATACTTCTAAATCGTAAGAGTCTGTGTTTTAAAAAATCATTCTGGGCCAGGGATTTGGCTCAGTGGTTCCACCTCCTGCCTTGCAAGTGCAAGGACCCGAGTTCGATCCCTGGTACCAAAAAAAAAAAAAAAAAAAAAAATCATTCTGCCATGCTGACTTGGTTGACTTAAGGGCCCCAGAATTTGGGCATTGTTGCACAAGACAATTTGTCTTTTAAAAAAATGTGTGTGTAAATGATATTTTAAAAGTTCTTTAAATCGGTCAATGAGCATTTATCAAGCATCCACTCTGTGATAGGCATTGATCTACTTGTGATCTTTAAGCTTTTAAGGTCATGTGATTCTCTGAAAATCTAATGAAAGCTGTGGATATCATGGCCACAAACTGTCAAACATGCGTTTTAATGGGTTATCCAATCTGGGGCTCCTTAGGAGCTCATGGAATCTGAAGAACTCCTGTTAGATATTTGGGGATGTATAGTAAATAACGAACAAGCTGAATCAATGAGCCACATGTTAGAAAGTGATAGGTGAAATGGGGAAAACTAGAGAAGCAAATAATTTAGGGCAAGACTGTAGAATTGCACAGGGTGGTCAGGGTAAGCCTCACGGGGACTGAGAGGTCTGAGCAGAGACTGAAAGAGAAGATCTTAGCCACGTGGTGTCTGGGACAAGAGCGGTCAAACACGGTCAACGTGACACAAAATATTTCAGGTAAGTTCGATCTCCAGTACCAAAAACAAAACAAAACAAAATTTCAGGTGGTAGAGCATTTCAGATTTCTGGTTTTTGAATGATGCTCGGCCAGTGAAATCTATGCAAATATTCCAAAATCCAAAAGAGCTTTGGACTCTGAAGCACTTCGAGTCCCATGCATTTCGGGTAAGGGATCCTCAGTCATTCCCATGTCACAGGAGAGGAAACAAGGGCTCAGAACAGGAAGTGACCTGCCCAAGGTCACACAGCTAATGGGGGAAAAGTGTGGAGCCCCCTAGTTGCCTGCCAGGGGCCTCTCTCCTTCCCCTTGTTACCAGCCTGCTGGTAAACTCCTGGCCTCTTAGCTCCAGCTGCTTCCTCTTCTTGGAATGCTCTCCTCCTCCACATCTCTTTCCCAATTCTCTCACAGCAAACTCGCATTTCTTTTATCCTGACCACCTTATTTAATTTTTAAAAAATTTTTATTGAGTT